ACTAGCCTCAACCCTAACCCCACCCCTTCCCCCTTCCCTCTTTCATAATTATTACCATCCAGAGAAACTCCTAGGGATCCTTAGGAATTCCTGGTTAAATCTGGAAACCAATAAGATGTCATTTAAAATTAAAGTACCCAAAATTAAATATGAAAAAATATTAATTATTATGTGAACTTTCACAAACAGTAGATCATGTCCTCTAAGTTCAGCACTTGCAGTAATAGGTTTTTGTGCTTGGAGCAGCCCTGAGAGTGGTGCTTTTTAAAATGAGGAATGCCTTTCATTTGTGCAGCGGTTGTGTCCTGGTATTTAATATGGCCAGTAGCCAGTTTACCTGTGAGCTGGTGAAATTCATTCATTCAGTAGCATGTCCCTCGCGGAACCTCGCTGCCATAACAACCCTCCGGAAAACCTTCCTATCATGAGCAAGATGTCCTGCGTCTGATACACCCATCTGGAGATCATCTGCCACATCCTGCACCCATCTTCTCCTTGGCCTTCCTCTTCCTCTGGTGAAATACCTAATGTAATAATTCTACATGTATAGAGCCAGCTTATCGTGCCCTACTTCCATCAACGACAAACTGCATTTCTGGTGGCAATGGTTGGCTTTGTCATCTCTAGCAACTGCCTTATGCATTTACTGCGTGCACATATTTCTGGATTGTGCTGGGACTAATTATCTGTTCACCAATTTTTCTAATGGGACAGGGATGGTCATTTCATCTGATTTTCACTGGCACAGGAGCAGAACAAGTATGGGTAAACCCGAGTGCAGTGAAGTTGAAACCTCGACTAAGACTTACAATAATGTTAACTTACAATAGACAGTTTCCTAGGGTCAGCGTTGCAAGGACTGCCGAAGATTCTCATTATGTCGATATGTTATATATATATATATGTGTGTGTGTGTGTATGTGTGTGTGTGTGCATGTGTGTATGTGATCAAGAGTTGACAACACTACACTTAGGACATTTAATAGATGCTCATTCCCCCTCCTGAGCAGCAAACAGAAAGTCCTCATAATGATGGTGCCAGTTGCAACTTGACTGAACACTCCCCTCTTTTATCAATGGGTAGAAAGTCATCCAGACCCTCTGTTTACTTCTTGCAGAAAAATGTGTCTAGATATGGATGCTCTGTAATATATCTATTTATATATAGATTAACAGACAGACAGACAGACAGACAGATAAAGAGAGAAAGAGAGACAGATGAAGAGAGAGAGAGACAAGTTGAGGTAAATTCACAGGGTGTTGATGGATGGAAAACAAATACAGTTAAATAAATTATCACAAACCCTAAAGTTCTTTTTAAACTCTTAAAATCATTGTTAAACTGTGTATTTTCAGAGAGAAGCAGAACAGTTACAGTGCATCTGGATGCGTTAGAGTATGTTGTAGTCACTAGTGGTGATATTATTGGCTGGTAAGTTTTTTTTTTTTTTTTTTTTTTCAAATATTTAATTCTTTATCAAAATTTACCTTTTTTTCCCAGTCACAAACAACATGTGATATTTAAATAATGCGGACACTTCAGTTTGAAGTCCATCCACTGTTGGTCATATATGATATGTAATTAGCTGCAGAAATCTTAACTGTTGAATATTATACTGTCTTACGTTGCTACTGTCTTTACTCTTGCGTCTAGACATCGTCTTCTATCCTATTGACTGGTTATTAACTCCAGCAGAAAGTTATCGTTGGCCATGTACTTCTGCATGTCTTGTTCATGCACATCAGTTTTACAGATGTGTAGACTATTGGTTCCTTGCCTATCAGGCAGATGCACTGACTTCAAAGGAAACGTCATAGCTATCTATGTTGGCCAGGCTACCAGTTGAGAACTTGTTTCTATGATGACCACACAGGGGTTTGACAGGTCTTGACCCGTCTGTGCTTTGGTCCCACGCACTGCCATGTGTGGTTTATGCAACATATTTAGGTGGACAGAATAAATGTTTCAAGGAAAACCTCAAAATCTCACTGAAAGACTTATGTATTGATCCTAAAACCTGGGAAGTCGCTGCATGTGACAGCTCATCTGGCACTTCTCTCTTCATAAAAGCCCATAAAACTGCTAAAGCTGCAGCAGAAATTTAGAAAAGAAAAGCCAAAAATGACACTTAATTACATCACCAAAGAGATGCAACCTTAATTCCCTGTCCACACTGCTCGAGAACTGTCAGTGCTAGAAATACCTTAGCCATCTGTACACTGAAAATACCTAATTAAGTCACCAATAGATAGGATGACTGATCATTATCACCTGTGGTGGAAAAACAACATGCAACACAAAATATGTGAAGTTATGTCACTTCACTTTCCAGTCACAGTTTTTGCCACGGCATTCGATTACTATTTTGTTGTTGTTGTTGTTGAAAATTGCCTTAACTGAAAAAGGAAACATTTAATCATTTTTAACACTTCACATCTTAATTGCAGGCATGTCCCTTTAGGTGATGTCATTGACTATAAAACAACAAACGTTGAAACATCCATATATATGTCTGCTGGCGGTATATCAGACTTGCACGTTGGAATGAATTATACATTCAGTGGCAAACAAGAAAGTGGAAGAATTTATGGAATCAAAACCCTTTTGTCGTCAGGTATTATTGATAACTGTGGTTTTGTTATGTTAAAAGAGAGAGAGAGAGAGAGAGAGAGAGAGAGAGAGAGAGAGAGAGAGAGAGAGAGAGAGAGAGAGAGAGAGAGAGAGAGAGAGAGAGAGAGAGAGAGAGAGAGAGAGAGAGAGAGAGAGAGAGAGAGAGAGAAACAGTATAACTAGACTGCTTTTACATTGGAACCCACAGTGTCATAGAAATAAAACCAGACCAAAACGTGATTGGAAAAGGTAACCACAAAATTAAATGAAAAAGATCAAGAGGGCATTGGGCAAGCTGTACACAACAGCAAAGGATAGGGCGACTGGACCTGAGTTAGTTGATGGCCTATGCTCCATTGGGAAATCATTACAGAAGTCCACTGTGCGTGGAGTCACCTTTATTTTGTTCCGGGATACGCAGGCGTCGATGGAAATGAAAGAGCTGACAGGTTGGCTGGATCCGCTATCACTACCCGACGGTCAGCCTATGGATCATGATGATATTATCAATGCCCTCAGAGAAATGGAAGGATAGAGGACTTTGGTGGCAGTGAATCAACATCACTCGCCAGAATGGCAGACTTGGGAATTAAGATCGGTACAGCAAAAAACGAGACGCACACCAGACACGCCAGAAGACTTGTTAATCAACATAGAACTGGTACTATTAGCCATCGGACGTTGGGGTTCATACTGAGGGGAGGATCTGAGCACCTATGGACATGTCTGGAGTGCAATGAGGATAACCCAACTAACTAACTAACTAACTAACTAGCTCCATTGGGAAAAGGGGGGGGGGGGGACAGAGAGAAGAAGAAGAAGAAGTGTCAGATGTGGGAGCCATTGATATTGTATTTTTACTATCATACTTACTTGCTGTGATGAGTTTCAGTTAACATGAAGACAGCTTGTTTCAGATTGATCTGAGTTGAAAAATAGGAATAATACATTTTGCAGCAAACCCACTCTGTCATAAGCAGTTGTTAATTCAAACCCTTAGACTTCGAGAAGCCACAGAACTGACACTTTCAGTTGGGTCAAATTCCCTGTAAATGTTACTTTTCTCTCTTGTCTGTAGTGACCCGATTAGAAGATGCATAGGTCATGCTATTGGCTGTTTTCATGCCTGTGCAAACGTTGATGTGGTCATGATATAAATGTTTTAAATAAATAAATGACATGACTGGTACCATCAGTATTGGAACTCTGCGCTGGTTGCTGAAGATAAGGACGGAGCATGCATGGAAATGCTGCGAGTGCTTTGATGTCAATTCTTGACTCAGCTCAACTCAACTCATGGATTTGCAATGTTAGTAAGATTGTGTAATTATTCAAAGTAATAGTTAAATTTCTATCATTATCACAATTGAAATCGAAGCAAAATATGAAACAATACAAATTACATATCGTTCATATAACTCTTTCTTTATGATACAATTATTACTTCAACTCGTTATTCTGATACTAATGTTACTTCAATGCATTCTTCTCATACATATGTTACTTTAACCCATTTTATATGAAACTTGTTACTTTTGCTCATTTAATACAATGCTAATGTTTTTTTCACTCATATTTGATACAGTTGTTTCTGTATCTCATTCTTTTGGCACAGTTGTTACTTTAACTCATTCTGTCACTCACATTGTTACTTTAACCCATTCTGTGTAAAGCAGTTCTTACTTTAACACATTGTTTCTATAACAAACCGTTACTTTAACCCAGTGTATTCGATACACTTTTTATTTTAATTCATTCTGTCTGAAACAATTGTTACTTCAACTAATTTTATAATAAAAAATGTTATTTCAAACCACTCTATAAAACAGTTGTTACTTTGACCTATTCTGTCTGAAATCAATGTTACTTTAGCTCAATCTATCTGAATCAGTTACTTTTGCTTGTTCAGTTCAAAGACTTAAAAAATCACACCCGAAATGTAAATCTTCTACGAGACTAAATTCTTTTTCTTTTCTCTACTCCTGAAATGTCTTGCGGTGTCAGGGGAGGAAGAGATCTCTAGAACCGCCCCTTCTGTTCGCTTCGTATATAGTTCTTTTCAATGTCTCTTATATTTTGCGGTCCATATTCTGCGTAGTCGACCTCTGGGTCTGTTACCACTGTTTCTGTATAACATTGTTCTCTGTCTGCTGTCAATCTTGTTACATGGCCAAACCATTAAATTTGTTGTCTACCTGTAAAGTTCAGTATTGGTTCTGTGCTGATTCTCCTCCTGATATCATTGTTCCTAAGTTGATCTTTCCTCGTTACATCTAACATAGTACATAAACATTTCATTTCTGTGGTGACTATTTTCCTTCTGTCTTCGGAAGACAGTGTCCATGTTTATGACACTGACTACATTGACCTTGAATATTTGTATTGACAGTACCACCACAAAGACTGAAGAACTTCCCACGCAAGCTAACTTTAAAATGTCCGCTGGACGCCGGTGAATACATTACTACCATTGAAGCCTTCAAGGAAAACCTTATGAGGTACAACATAGACGGGTACAACCCTTGGTTTTCTATCGATGAGTTAACAGGTTAGTAATTGCAAATCTAAATGTTAATTACCCCTAAACTGTTTTGGAATTAGGCATCCTATGCTTGGCGTTCATGGGTTGTAAACTCCGATGGAGAGTCCGCTTCTGGACTTTAGTCTTATTCCTGAACTTTAGATTTTTTATGCACATCTGTTTCACAGATCTGTGTTGTTTGTGCGCAGACTGTTGGTTCCTTAGCTGTCCTAGTTAGACTTTAAGGACCTGCCTGTAAGGACAGCAGTGGGCCCTTTCTTTTTCATTTTTGTTCCCACCCGACAGTGGGCCCTTGAAACACACATGGGGAGAATTGGGAATCAAACTTGTTACTATGTGAGAGAGTGAAACAATAAATTGAATGGGCATGAAAACAAGTAAAGTCGTGGACTCGTTTCAACACCTCGGGAAGTACTGGGCATAAGATGGAGTAAAATAAAAAATTAAGGACCCTTTTCCTCGCCTTTATCCGTTTAGGGTATATAGGGCTAGACCTATATTTTATAGACCACATGGCACTTGGTGGACGATGTGGTCAGCATCACGCCGGCCACCTTTACTTCCCAGGACTGTACCTGGTACTCACTCCCACTCAAGGCTGGGTCGACCTAGAAGCGGAGGTCATTTTTTGACAAAAGCCCGGCTCCATCAGGACCTGAACCCACGACCTTTCAAACCAGCAGACCAACATCTAGCCGCTAGACCACGGCAGCTGCCGGGCATTTGGGGCTAAGGCATATGGGGCTAACCTTATATTTGTGTAGACAAATGTTGCTTGATAGACAGCGGGGTTAATATTTTTAAACCGCCGCTGACTGTACTTTCCATGCCAGTTCTACTTCTAGGGTTTTAGTGCCTGCCTCATAGTAATAATATCACCTAGTTGGGTTTGAGCATGGAGTTAAGAAGTTTTACAATGGTTGGTCTCTAATATTATCACACATGTCCCCATGTTCATGTCAGATTATCTGTATTGTTTCTTGCCTCTCCACATTTGTGGCATTCGATATAAACATGATGTTCTGTTTTGACAGGTGATGTGAAAACAATCACCCTGATTAGTGGTAACTTGTCATCTGACATCCACATTGTTGCCACTTCCACCTGTGATGTACAGACATCAATTGTGCTGAACTTCCAGTGCATTGAAGTGGCTGAACAAATCGACAAGCAAAAGTCTCTCGTAAGTGCAAGTTGTTGTTACTAATACTAAGCCTAGATGTAGTCACTTACAGTTATGCCATGTCCCCGTAACTGCCAGTTTATGGTCATGTCTGCAGTGACCTGTTCTCGAAAAGCGTAGTTAAATTCCATTGGTCCTGTGTGTGTCTGCACTGTGTTTAAAATGCCACGAAATATAGTAACTAAAAATAACAGTGGAGGGAGGGGCGGGTTCCTTATGACCCCAATGGCTTTTTTAAAGCCAATTTGATGTTAAATTTTCTCTTTAAGCCTAAGTTTTAAAGGTCACAACATCAGCCAACTGATGCATTTATGTATTTTTATGCCGCTGGGAATGTATTCCATTTAATGCTTTGCCCTGTTCTCGTTTTTTTGTGTTTATTGATCACCTCTTTATATATTTTCACAAAAAAGTTTAAACATGTAGATAAATACTTTTAAAACAGCTGTTTTAGTGACATGTTGGTTTTTCCCACAATGAGTTTTTTCCTGGAAATTCCTGCGGATCCATCAAAATCGAAGACTAGAGTTACCGTGCCGAGATCGAACCTGTCACCTCCAAACTCCCGGCATGGTAACTAAAGTTTTCAATTTTTATGTTGTCTAGTGTGTCCTTCTATCTTTCTACTTTTTTTCTGTGAGTGCCAATTAATACTTGTTTGTTGATATATATATTATATTTTACAGCAATATATATATATATATATATATATATATATATATATATATATATATATATTGCTTCAATATTGCAGTATATATATCAAAATATATATAACATATATAAATATTTTACAGCAAGTATTACACCCAGCAACCTAGAGCAGTTAACGCTGCCTTCAAATTGTTGAAGTTATTACTTGCTTCAAAATATTGCAATTAACACTTGCTTCAAAATATTGGAGTTAATACAAGCTTCAAAATATTGCAGTTAATACTTGCTTCAAAATATTGCAGTTGATACTTGCTTCAAAATATTGCAGTTAACACTTGCTTCAAAATATTGGAGTTAATACAAGCTTAAAAATATTGCAGTTGATACTTGCTTCACAATATTGCAGTTGATACTTGCTTCAAAATATTGCAGTTAACACTTGCTTCAAAATATTTCAGTTAATACTTGCTTCAAAATATTGCAGTTAATGCTGCCTTCAAATTTTTGAAGGTAATACTTGCTTCAAAATATTGCAGAAGATTCTACATATAAATCTACCACAGATGGAGTGGGGTAAAAATGACCTTGGTTCACCAGCTTGACCCAGCTCTAAATGGGTACTATGAAACAACACCCTTGCAAACAAAGAGAACCTGTTGACCATATTACTCATCGAGTTTTGATTGGTCTATATAAATATGACTCTACAGTACACTATGCCAAATGGGTAATTTACTTTACTTATTTATTTATTTTATTTTTGTAAAGAAAAAGTGAAGAGGAAAGAACCCGCTTCTTCCATAGGTTGTCATCTACTTAATTCCGGACACAAAATTGACACAGACAAGGCTTTCATGTGGTTTACCACACTCCGAACAGGAGACTGTTGAGAATGGCATAAGCTTTAACAATTAAAATCAACAACCCTCTCCTTTGTAAGCAGACGGAATTTATTGTAAATTTGAAGTTACCCTGGTAAGTCATGTGACTACAGTAAGCTTCCGGCAGCTAAAAAACACACACAATGTGACGGAAGAAACTATTTGCATTTCAGTTGGATTTATTTAGTTTTGTGCCTCATTTTGTTTTGATGTAACTCTGAAGTAACGCACCACCTGAGATACAGCAAAATCTGCCTGGCAATCTATTGTGCAATGTATTGTTTGTGCCCGCATTATTTAAATTCATTACGGGAAGACATTGTTTTGAAGAATTAAATTGTCATTTGAAATGATCCTTTCTGTGTTACTTCTAGAATGTCAACAGACCTCCTGTTTTAACTGCTGCAGAGTTGGTTTGTGTCCCTGAAGATACTCCTGGTGGTACTGCACTGTTCACTGTATCAGCAGTAGATGTGGATACTCATGACAGACCAAACATCAGTATTGTCTGCATCAGTCATAGCACTGCTTACTACTTTATTGTGCAATCAGGTGAGATCTAGTTACATGCATGGAGAGGTTTTGTGCAAAAAGTCTTTGTTATTTAAAGTTAGACCAGGAATTCTGGTGTATCAAATAGAACCTACAGTAGACCCTCTCTAAGTTGACCACCCAAGGGACAGTGGCACACCTTTGAAGAATAGCCACTCACAGCAGGTGGTCATTGCTGGGTGGGTCATAGGTGCCTGTTTGCTGTGGAACTTAAAATAGTCACTCAGGTGGTCATTGCCGGTAATGGTCACAGGTGCCTGTTGCTGTGGAAACTTGAAGAATAGTCACTCACAGGTCATTGCAGATGCCGGTCACAGGTGTGTTGCTGTGGAGAAAATAGTTTAAGAATAGCCATTCAAACTTAGATGGCCGGTCACAGTTGCCTGTAGTGAACTTGAAAAATAGCAACTCACAGATTGTTGTTGCTTGGTAAACTTGAAAAATAGCAACTCACAGATTGTTGTTGCTTGGTAAACTTGAAAAATAGCAACTCACAGATTGTTGTTGCTTGGTAAACTTGAAAAATAGCAACTCACAGATGGTTATTGATTGGTGAACTTGAAAAATAGCAACTCACAGATTGTTGTTGCTTGGTAAACTTGAAAAATAGCAACTCACAGATGGTTATTGCTTGGTGAACTTGAAAAATAGCAACTCAAAGATTGTTGTTGCTTGGTAAAGTGGTAAATTTGAAAAATAGCAACTCACAGATGGTTATTGCTTGGGAAACTTGAAAAATAGCAACTCACAGATTGTTGTTGCTTGGGAAACTTGAAAAATAGCAACTCACATATAGTTGTTGCTTGGTAAACTTGAAAAATAGCAACTCACAGATTGTTGTTGCTTGGTAAACTTGAATAATAACTATTCACAGATCATTATTGGTGGGTAAACATGTATGTTAGAAATAATGATCAGAGGATCGACTTTATTGCCCCACATTATTCTGCTTGGTCTCTCTCAGCTCTCAGCATAATGGCTAGCCACCTATCGAGAGCATTGCAAATACACATTTTAAAAACTATCTAGCTCTAGCATTATCCCTAGGAATCTATATAGCAGTTTCATTCATAAACTGAACGCTGCATCCATGAACTGAACGCTGCATCCATGAACTGAACGCTGCATCCATGAACTGAACGCTGCATCCATGAACTGAAAGCTGCATCCATGAACTGAAAGCTGCATCCATGAACTGAAAGCTGCATCCATGAACTGAACCCATGACGTTCAGAGCACATGGCAAATGCCTAAGTTATGTTGTTGCTGCCTGGTAAATTTTAAGTATAGCCAGTCACAGAAAACTGTTGATTAGTGATAATGAAGTCTAACTAATCACACAGAGAGTTAATTGTTTAAGATAAAATGAGTCAACTGTCCTCATTCAATTGAAGGTACTGTGAAGCTACAAGAGAATGCCAGCCTCAATTACGAGGTGACTCCTGTGTTTACATTTCAAGCTCAAGCTGACGATGGGCGCACCACTTCTGCAGCTACATACATCACACTGCAGGTCACTGATATTAATGAACCACCAGTCAGACGTCAGAGCATCCTGTTCATACAAGCCAAGCAGGGAAAGGTGCATGGTTTTTTTTGCCAAGTGCTTACTGATTTGTATTTTCACTTTAGATTTAATGGCCCGGGATAGTGAAAGAAAGTTTCATTCTTATCCTGGTCTCCACTGCTGCCGTATATGTAGTAGAAACTCCACAGAGACGCAAACACAATATAAG